CTGACCAAGTTATTAAATAAAAATATACCTAGAATATAGTCCGAAACAAAAACTCGCACATTAATATATTGCGAATAAAACATGTTTAAAATATATTTTGTCGGTTCATGCCGATTATGCTCAATGGGACGGGACTAATTTGCCAAATTGTTTCAGAGTATCTATATAATATTCTACGCAGACGTAGTCCCGGGCAGCATCTAGTATAGTATAATTTCGTCCTTCTTCTTGATCGAATACATAAATCTTGATGAAGGCGTAACATTCAGACAGAAAGACAGATATACATAAAATATGTATATGAATTATAGCCTATGTCTTATTTTGATGTATAAGCTATATTATTATAAAGTTTCATTAAAATATATTCAGTAGTATTTAGGTAAAAAAGTAACAAACATACATCCATACATACAAACTTTCGCCTTTATAATATTAGTGAGAACTTCAAATCTTATCGTTCTTTATATATTAGCTGAAGCGATATCAATGAAAGTTGCCGAAGCAGTAACTGCAGTAAGGCCAGGCAAGCGTGTTCGCGTTGCAAGAATAAGCAGGTCCGTCCGGGTAAGTACCATGACCTCACAGTAGACCGGCGTGAAGTAGAATTATTAGACTTCTGTGTTAAGTCTGGTGAGTGTGGTTGCCACGGCCCACATTATTAAAAGGTAGCAACGCATCTGCAACCCTACGGGTTCTGCGAATGTTGTCACTCAACACTTTTTCATATAAAAAAATGTATACTCAGAGGGCGTTTCAATAATGTGGAGTTGCACATGCGGAATCGCGAGGGCGAAGTGGATTCAGCTTACGACGCGATTACGGCGAGACTGAATTAGAACTTATCTCGTCTGTCTATCCGAAAACTTTGATGGGCTTTGGCCGGTTTAAGCCAATTACGACTGGATCGATAAGAATGCTGCTCTTCAGAGCGCTTCGGATAAGCTAATGGTTTCAAGTTTCTCTGTTTTATACTATTAATATATAAGGGAACAAACACAAGCTTGTAACGCCAGTTACGACTACATAGAGTCAGTAACTCGTTCATGGGACGGTGTATACGCTTGTGCAACAATGTCCCAGTTAATGTGTAAAGCCTCTATTACCAGGTTTAAGAAATTTATTAAAGAAAAACTTTTTAAAAAGGGTTATTATAATATAAATGAATACATTAACGATAATAACCCCTGGGAATGAGATGATCGCTCCTAAGCTGTTTCTAAAAAAAAATGTATGTAAAACAATGTTTTTGTTGAGAAAAAAAAACTGACAAAAAAGAGGATACCTACGGAATTTCTTTCTCCTGTTTCTTCTCCGTTAGAGGAACCTCATTACGAAACGGTGGTAGATTTAGAAAAAAATGACTATCGATAAATTAAATGTATATTTCTTATTTCGATGAATAAATGCTTTGATTTTTAACGTTGTGATTTGTACAGTTTTTATACCGAAAATTTGGGGGGTCGTAGGTTCGTGATTTGTGACAGTCTGTGAAGATGGCCTATGTTCAGCTGTAGACTCGATAAGGCTGGCATAAGGCTCGATGATGATGATCGAGAGGTTATTTAAATTATAACGCAAACTTTTTGATTTAATAGAGAGAAAAATCCTGGATGTGTGATATAGTGCTCCTATAATTATATATTGGTTTTAATTGACAAAATTCAAAATTAATAATTTTATTTATGAAATTGATTAGAAGTCTCATCTGCTGCTTCAGATAAAGTCAACACTCCAACAGCCAGATAATCAACTCCCACAAATATATACATACAGAAATAGCTTTACTACCTGATTACGCTTTGGTAACAGTAAGCCGTGACCAGCAGTTGTCGACTTCACAAAACATATTACTGAAACGCATTTAAACTAACGCCAACTGCTCACGCCTCCCAGCCATTCTAATGAAATACTGTAACGAAAGGAATGGACGAATAATTAATTTCTTGGTAAATAACATAATATTGTATTATTCTAAATACCCATCAATGTAAAATATTACAACAATTGCTACTTCATGGAGCAGAAAGTTGTAAAACTTTCACCAAGTGTCGCCAAGTTTTTCTACATCCGTATCACTTTAATAAAACTCGATCTTACTTACTGTCAAACGTCATGTTGCTAAAGCAGTTGCCTTTAGAACTTTGTAATTCCTCACATTTTGGATGAATAAATATATATATTATTACTTTAAAAAAAATATTAGGATGAGAGCTAAATAATTATATTTACGTCTATTCATTTAAACGACCCAAGTGGCGTAGTTGATAGTGACCCTGTCTGTTGATATATCTATTTTTTAGGACACCTTTTTTTTTACACAACGTTCTCTAGTCCCAAACTAAGGAATGCTTGTACTACGGGTACTAGAAAACTGATAGACATACTTAAACATGCTTTTCTTTTGTAAATAAATACACATTATACATATATAAATACCCAGACACTAGAAAAATACTATACTCATCACACAATATTTTCCAGTGGTGGGGATCGAACCCCACACCCTCTAGCGCAGAAGGCACTACCGACTACGCCATTCGGGTCGTCAAATCAATAGTATGGATAAAAAATACTATGCATATATATATGCATAGTATTTTTTTTGTATTTATTTAACAAGGCTTACCAACTAAATACATATAGAAACAATTATTATGAGGTGCCCTTAAACATTGTATATATGCATTTAAATTAAAGGTAAACACAACATATAAAAAAAGACTTCCTTTAAGGAAAACAGTAACCTATAAAACTATCACTACAATAAAATAATAAAATTATAGAAATTTAAATTGTTTATAGTGCTAATCTTTGCACTTAAGATTGAACATTTTCTACATATTTTAATAATAAAATTATAACAAACAAAAAAACCTAACTTATATAATGTATAAATATAAAAAAGAGAGGAAGGAAAAAAAAACTTTTAAAATGAAAAAAATATTGGGCTGTGTAATGTGTTAGCACCTTCCTCGTTAGTATGCATATATTTTAAAAAAAAGTACGTTTAAGTAGGTTTAGTTTACGTAGTAACCATAGTACAAGCTTTGCTTAGTTTTGGTCTAGACAACGTTGTGTTAAAATATGTCCCGAAATGTTTGTTATTTATTTAAATAAATATTTAATTAAATAACATTGATTTTAAAATTAATTTGACTACATTCTATTTTAAACGTGTTTAATAATTATTGACCACCTAAATTAGGCGCTAGGAATGTTCACCTAAGTCCTAGAGTTATGGGTATCGAACCCGTGACTTTATTTGGCTACGTGTTATTTATAACCAATCATTCACTTGTCAAATTATTACCAAAATAACTTGCCCATATTTGTGCCAGGCCCTAAGACAGGTAAACGTAGACAATACCGACTGTATGCGTCGTTGAAAACTCAAACTCTCAACTCACTCAAACATATTGTTTTTCATTCGTTTCATGCAAACAAAACTGTGATGAGTTGCCCTTAATAATTGTGAGCAAACAATCAGAATCTGAATAAGCGGCGATCTGTGAAACTAAACATGTTTTTGACGATCGCCGAAGGGCCGTGATCCCGCAATAAATCGTGCCGAACAATTCGATATTCCATTAACGGCGGTCGAACGGTAGGAGCACTATAAATTGGGCATATCGAGGATATTAATAATGTTACTTATTGTGCCATAAATAAGGGCTCTCCCTTCCCTGTTTAACGAAACGGATACGCCCGCTATTAGAAGGGACTACAGGTAACTAAATGAAGTGAATAGATTATGATAAGTCAGCAGGTAGTGTTGCCATAGTTTGCAATTCTAAATCAATTGTATTCAGGTAGCTATTAGCAACCCTTACTTCCAATGAACTTCACTAGACATTGAAAAATTACAAGTGCGTTCGATGAATCATATTAAATGATTATCAAACGTTTATGCGATTTGTATTGTGTACGAGATTGAAATTAGTGGAAAATGTATTTAATCCAAAATAACCGATAAAAAGGTTATTTAGTCCCACATTTGAGCGGATTGATATTAACCACTTCACATTTTGTTAAATGGGTAATATCTTAAACGGGCAATAGGCATTAGACCTGCATAAGACCTAAGTCTACTACTAGATCTACTCATATCACAACTATTAAATCTAATATAGGACCTTTAAATTCTTGTGTGTATATATATATATATATATATATATACAAGAATTATATATATATATATATATAATCGGAATCACGGAAACGGCTCCAGCCATTTTCATGAAATTTAAAAATCGATCTGGTTAGGTTTCATTTTTAGAAAATGTCGTTTCATCCCTGTTCTCAGGGAATGAAAAATATCATTCGACGGTAAATTTCAATGAAAAAAAAATGTTATAATACCTCGGTCGTATGCAATCGGGCGGCCCCGAAACAGAAGGCCGTGGTTCGTGTCACGATCGTTTACACACTTATTTTTTACTTTTTTTCGATTCCAGATCATTCCTTCCTTTATGTTTTATTTTTGTCTATCCAGATGATTTTGTTATTTTTATCCCTTTTTTTTTAAAGTTATTTTGTTATTAAGTGAAAAAAACCAGTTAATATTTTCTTATTATTACGTCGGTAAGTTCGACTAATTTTATGCATATTTCATTACTCAGTAATTTGTATCTAAATGTAATTTTCCAAAATACATGATTTACCAAAAAAAAAACATGATTCTTCTCAGGTCAGTGACTTTTCTTTTCCAACCCGGTAGTAGTGGATCTACTACCGGTAGTAGTGCCGGTAATAGGTCCTATACCAATGACATTTATATAGCACCACATGGGAAGCACCAGCTTCCAAATAATAAAAGAATCATCAAAATCTGTTAACTCAGTCGAAAGTTCTGAGGTAACAAACATAAAAAAATACAGTCGAATTGAGAACCTCCTTCTTTTTCGGTCGGTTAAAAATATCACTGCAATTACGCAACGCCGTCAATATCTGACGGACGATTTGCGAAACTCGATCGCGGCGCTTAACGACGTATCGCGATGGAGCAGCAAGTTTATATTTACGATCGGAGATCTGTTCTAAATTCGTTCCGCAACGGCACACTCGCAGCAACTTATCCAGTTGATGCAGTAAGCCGTGATCGATGTCGGTTCTAGAGATGATAGAGCGCGTTGTAAATCGGCGATTGACCGACGTGCCCCCCGCGCTGCCGTTACGTAGAACGTTTCCACAAGACTCAGTTCAACCGTTTGCTGATATTGGAAAATTGTTCGACATAAATCGATTACTAATAGATGCACAGTCTTCAACAGTGCAATCAAAAAGTATCAGCTTATAAATGTACCATTGCTGGTCAAAGGCTTACTCTGTACAGGGGGCATAAGGGGGTCGTTTTCACTGCCACCAGCGCCACTTATCGGGGAGTGGTCATGTCGCCAGTTATACAACGTGTCTTTACATTCGCGACAATAATAATGAACACACATATGGGGAATAACTTTTTAAAATTTTATTAAACATTTACATTCTTTAAACATCAATATTTACAGAGTTATTAAATTTTCCAAAACAAAGAATTTTAGAACACCCTTACGTATAAAACTGTAACGTAAAGTTCATTCCTAAAGGTCACAAAGCATATGAATGGGCTGAATGAATTTGAAAGAGACAAAACATACTGTTAGAAGGAGAGGCTTGTAATGCGACGCTGTGGCGCGAGTTGTATAGGATGTTACAAATTTTGTTTCTTTTTTACTTAATTAGTTTATTTGAAAAATATTTTTTTCTAACTATGGATTTTGTTAAACGTTAATATTCTTTTATGATGCAAGTAGCGTTAGACGTGTGTTCATTTACTGTCGCGATGGCAACGACACGCTGTATATTAAGTGCTAAGTTTCATATCAATCAGGCTAGCGGTCCACAAGTTTAAGGTGAACATATATAAACCCACACATTCTCTTTTATGTTTATGGATGAGTAAAGCTCATACGATTCCCTCCTTCCAGGCGGTGGACTATTTGAAAAAGCGAACTCCCGCGCGCGCCGCGTTGATGATAGCGGCGGTGTGGCTGATGAGTGCGCTGGTCTGCATACCACCGCTGCTGGGCTGGAGGGTCACCAGGCCGCCGGAGCAGTTCCCGCAGTGCAAGGTGAGCAATAGAGAAAGACCGCCGGAGCAGTTCCCGCAGTGCAAGGTGAGCTATAGAGAAAGGCCGCCGGAGCAGTTCTCGCAGTGCGAGGTGAGCAGTGCAGTGAGCTATAGAGAAACGGAATATACAACCTGCTTTTAGGAAGGTTGAATTACTCCGGCCAGTTCTGGATGATGGTTACAAGATTTAACACTTGTGTAATCTTATACTTGCAGTGATCTAAGCGTGTAAGTGGTATTCAAACAGTGTCGTACATCTCCTCATTAATGATCTTTCTTTTTTTTATGTGAAAATTTGCCATACGAGCAGACGGTTCACCTGATGTTAAGTGAATAACGCTGCCCAAGGACATCTGTTACACCCGAGGGTTGCAGATGCGTTGAGAACCTTTTGAAAATTGGGCTCTGGCCGCCTCACTCACCAGACGAAACACGAAAGTATTATTCTTCCACTTTACGCCGGTCTTTTGTGAGGTCGTGGTACTTACCCGGACGAGCCTGCCCATTCGTGCAACAGCCGAGGCTGCTGCGTGGCCCAACCACCAAACTTCCTTGCAACTTCCTTTGCCTTTGAAAATAACGAAAACGGCTGACTCACGTTATAAGCATTAGCCTTGCTGGTTTGCCGTTTGAGTTGGCGTTACTACGTTGACATTAGAGATCTTTAAGCTGGTAACAAGTAATACATTGACTTCCGGGCACTTCCTGTTTGAAAATTTCTCTTGAAAAGATTTACTTATCTTCAGTATGTGCTGACATACAGGACGTGAATGAAATGTAATTTTACTTTTAAAATAAACACTTTCTCTGCCTAATACTCGTAATCATTGAAAATCCAAGGTCGATCAATTTAACAAACATTTAGACAAACGGTAAACATATCATGGTAGATGGACAACTGAAGGGACACATTTTTGTGTTAAATCCTGTAACAACTGAAGAGAAGAAGAACTAAGCGTATGTGTAGTACAGCATTTACGCTAGCTCACTCTAGATAGTTTTAGTTACCTCATCATTCGTAGCCTAAGCAATATTCAGATTCAACAAAACAGTTATGCACGCGAGTCAAAACCTTTTACTGAACCCACTTAAAGCGATACCGTTGAATTATCGATCCACAATGAACTTCGTCAATGGCACCTTTGACCTTTTTTATCGTAAATAAATCCCGGTACGAATAATAAAGACCCTTCGAAGCTTTAACCGGCACTTTAATTCCTTTTGCAGTCGATGCTGGCAATCCGTCGACGTATTTTTAATTTTAACCCACCCTCCGGGCTTTATTAAAATTTTCCACGACATTAATTCTGTAGCTAGTTGCTTGAATCACTATTATTTACAACTAGTTATTTTTGTTGTCTCTCTCCAGTTGACAGTTAATTTGGTAAATGTCTCTTTTTCTAATAACTGATATTTTGTTTTATATTCTTCTTTCTGGTCTTGTCTATCATGTATGATGATCGTGGTTGGCGGTCGTCGTTCGAGCACGAATGGGATCTCTCCATCGATTCCGGTCCATCGCGGTCCTCACCGCATCGCAGATATTCTGAGATGGTTCTGTGCCTTTGAGCTGGTCGTGCTGGAGATCGGCCACGTGATCTTTTGCCTTCAGTGTTTCCAACAACGATCAACCTTTCCAAGCTTTCGTCTCCCCTTCTCATTATGTGGCCAAAGTAACTTAGGAACCGTCGCTCACAGATTGTGGACAGTAGCGCCTTGATTTTGAGCTCCGACAGTATCGACTGATTGGTGCGTCTGGCTGTCCATGGTATTCGCAGCATACGCCTCCAACACCACATCGCAAAGGCATCGGTCCGCTGTCTCTTTCTACTCTTGACAGTTCACGTTTCGGCTCCATATATAAAAATCAGAATCACCAGGCCTCGCTCTAAACGCATTTTGGAGTTTTTGAAGAGGCCGCGATTTTGCTATATTTTCTTGAGCCTGGTCATGGCATCCTTTCCCAATTCAATTATAATATAATAAATTCTAGCGTGCATCTAATATTCCCGATATTTAACTCAAAATGGGAAACGAATAAATTGTAAAATGTTTATTTAATGCCTTGTTTGTTTTACTTTGTCCTTTAAGTACTTTACGGCATCTTAAGGGAAATGTAAATGTAAGGAATTTATTTACACTGTTTTCAACTTAGCAAAAGCGGCGATGGATGAACTTCAATCCTTGTTTAATAAGATAATGCTTTCTTTAAATACTTATAAAATAACTATCCAGTTAAACTGAAATATAATTAGAACAGAAAGTGAACGTAAAAAGTTGTTCACTGTGGCTTTTTTGAGGCCAATATCACCACACTCTATTTTCTTTGTTAAATATATTATCTGTAGTTATGGGAAATAAGAGATGGTGATGATTATTACAGGTAAACAGGGTAAATGTTTAAAGGAACCACACGCACATTTTCATACACATTTATATACACTAACTTCAATAGATATTTTATCAATAAATGAAAATAAAATGAATAGTAATTTTGTTTCTTTTTTAACAGAGCACATATTTTTGTAAATCCTGTAATAATTCAGAAGTGCATGTTTGCTTGGTGGTTACTTTTTACATAAATATGGACAAATATAATTTACAAAGTGCTAGGTCAGTATATATAGGTGTTTTATAGTATATATAGTTTATACCAAGGTTGTTAATTTACAGTTTAAAGTAAACTAGCAGCCTATATATCCCACTGCTGGGGAAAGACCTCCTCTGTACCTACGGACGGCATGAAGGCATAGTCCGCCCCACTGCGTACTGGCGAATTTCACATACCTTCGAAATATTTTCTATTTCTGTTATTGTTTCGTAAATATTACAAGAGCCGTGATAGCTCAGTGTCCGGGTGCTCGCTTTTAATTCAATATACTCGAGCAACCTGAGTTCGATCCCCGGTGCCGGCACCAATGAAGTTTTTAACTTTAAGTGCTGACTTATCACGTCCTCCGCGGTGAAGGAAAACATCGTAAGGAAACCTGCATATTTTCGAAATAATTACAAAAAATATATATATTTCGAAGATATGTGAATTAAGCCAATCCGCAGTGGGGCCGCGTGGTGGACTATGCCCTGATACCCTCTGTATAGAGGAGGCCTTTGCCCAGCTGTGGGACATGTATAGGCTGTTACTTTACTTTTTTTTTACTTCTTCGTAAATATTCAGGTTTCCGTATTTTTCCTTTCCTAATAAAATACAGTTTACTGACGGCTAATTAAAAATAACTTCTTAGCGTGTTAATACTTTATTACTCTTCATTTATCCAGTAAAAGCGTTGCAGATTTGTGTCATGTCAACCTGCCAGCACAGAGTCGTAAATTATGCTAAACTTACGTTAGCAGTAAGCTCCTACTTTACTCCTGACAGTTTTTGCTTGAAAGCAAGTCATGTTCCCGCATCTGTTACAGTCACGGCTAATGTAATCTACATTTGCCTTGAGCGTGGCACAGAGGAGTATTTAGATTGGACCAAAGTTCAAACCGAATTAATGTCCAAAACCTTAGCTTACATATATTGACCTATATTATTTATATATTAAAACGAGAAGCAAAAACATTCAATTTCCCACACTTATAGATATAGTTTATATAGAGAAGAAGGGCAGAATGCTAAATTTTCTTTAAATTATGCGTAAAAAAACATTAAATCGATTAAAAAATATGACACACTATTTATAATTAAATATCGTCGAATTTCGACCACGGAGCGACCACTAGTTATGTTATAACCTATTTTTTTAATAATGATTTGAAACAAATACAGTCAGAAAATTTGTGTGATTGTGATTATTCGTTTTTAGTGTCTTCATTCACTTTAAATCGGTCACATTGAATAGTTATAAGGAAGTATAGTATAGTGAAGTTATAAAGTTTTTTAACTTCTAGTACTTTATACATTTTTTTTTATTTTAATTTTTTTTTCAAGGCATTTCTTGCCTCCCACAGTCACTCAGTGGAACCAACTGCCACCGGTGGTCTTTCCGAACCATTACGACCTGAGAACCTTCAAGAAGAGGGCATACTCTTTTTTAAATGGCCGGCAACGCATTTGTGAGCCCTCGTGTGTCGCAGTTGTTCATTGGCGGCGGTAATCACTTACCATCAGGCGAGCTTGTTTGCCCCTTGTTAAAAAAAATTGTTTGACTCACAGATAATTTTACAGTGGTAGGGCCACGCAGGAGCCTCGGCTGTTGCACGAATGGACAGGCTCGTCCGGGTAAGTATCACGACCTCACAGAAGACCGGCGTAAAGTGAAAGTATAATACTTTCGCGTTTCGTCTGGTGAGAGAGGTGGCCGGAGCCAATTTTTCAAAAGGTTGTCAACGCATCTGGAAACCTCAGGTGTGGCAAATGTCCATGGGCGGCGGTATTCACTTAACATCGGGTGAACCGTCTGCTCGTTTGACAACTTATCACATAAAGTAACAGCCTATACTTGTCCCACTGCTGGGCAAAGGCCTCCTCTATACAGAGGGTATCAGGGCATAGTCCACCACGTGGCCCCACTGCGGATTGGCGGACTTCACATATTTTCGAAATATATTTTTTTACACAAATACAGTCAGTATCTTGTATAACATATGCATTTATGAAGCTACCTTTCCTGCTGTGTTGCTCGTGTTAAAAATAAATTTCAATTGTGTATTAACAAATGCATTAGCATAGTATCAGCCTATACATATCCCACTGCTGGGCAAAGGCTTCCTTTGTGCAGACGATATCAGGGCATAATCCACCACGCGGCCCCACTGCGGATTGGCGGACTTCACATATCTTCAAAATATCTTTTTTTATTATTATTTCTAAAATATGCAGGTTTCCTCACGATGTTTTCCTTCACCGCGGAGCACGTCATAAGTCAGCACTTAAAGTTAAAAACTTCATTGGTGCCGGCACCGGGGATCGAACTCAGGTTGCTCGAGTATATTGAATTAAATGCGAGCGCCTGGACACTGAGCTATCACAGCTCACTTATCACTTATCACATAACAAAATAATAATGTAATAATTTCTTGTATTTACGCGATTACACATTATAAATGAAACTAATTTTACGGATTTATCGCGGGAACTAAAATTAAAAATAAACGCGATAAATCCGTAAAATTAGTTTCATTTATAAAATAATA